CACAAACACGCTCTTTTGCAACAACCTCACATTCAGGTCGAGCGTAGACGTGTTGCAAGTCACATGGGTTCGGGTGTCCTTGAACGCACCGGGCGCCACAAGGGTCGAGAGGGCGACGGCAGCGGCGCAGCGCGCGGACAAGGCCAAAAGAGGCGCAAACGCCGAAACATAAGATCACCAAGTGCAAAACTCCCCCCGCTAACACCCCCGCCCAAGAAGTTAAGATCATGTTGGGGCTGGCAACAGTAGTGTGGACCAAATTAAGCCTAATTGAATGTTAATTAGTTTTCGTTAGGCTTAATTAAGCTTAAATAAGCTTTGTTGAGCCTGCCCAGCCCTGGCAACTGTGAGATTCGCTGGTTTTGAGGAGAGTCAGACCTTACAGGTGAAGGCTCAATTAAGCTTAACCTGGCCTTAAACTTGTTTTGGGGGGGGGGGGGGCGTTGTAAGCGACCCCTCTCAGCTTAGAACACTCCCCAAAAAAAGAAGTTAAGGCCATTTTAGGTTTACTTAAGCCAACACGGCGCAATCCAGCTTGCCCGCAGGCCTCGCTGCAGCTTCTGTTGCTGATTGCTGAGCCCTGCTGTTGGTGCAATGCCTCATTTGAGCCCCCAGTTTGGCCCCGAATATGTTCAGCAAAGAAAGAGACGGCCTTCTGATTTTGGGGGGGGTGGCTTTGCGGGGGGGAGTTTGCACTTGATGATAAGAGCTTGCAAGTTGTCAGAAGAGAAGGTGAGCTCGCACTAGCGAAGCAGCAACTCCAGGAAATTGGGGTGTGACTTTCCTGAGCCAGCAGCCTCGACAAACATCTTGTGGAAACGAAACTGAAGGCGTCAACTCCGCTTTGCGCTGACTTCATTTCTTCGAGCGACGATGGTGCGCACATGTTCAAAAACACCACTGAATCCCCACCGGAAATGTTCCCTATTCCAAAGCCCGACCTTCTGACGAAATGTTTCCCAGCAATTTTTCGGAGATCCCCCCATCTTTTAACATACCTCCAAAGCGGAGCAGATACCAGGCGCGCGAGCGCTCGTTGCTTTCAAGATGGGAGTGCTCGGTGGCACAAAGTTTGCTTTTTGGAGGCTCTGTGTTGCTGAGCCCAGGTCAATGTTTGTTGCGTCCCCCGCTGACATGCCAACTTTGGTGAGTCACCCCCGTTTCCTAATCGTATTTTGGTGAGTGTGCCCCATGTCATCCCCTTTGCCACAGTACATGACAGCAAATATTAACACGCATGTCAATGTGATATTGGTTTCATATTGTTTTGTTGTGGATGTGCCTGTTGGAGGTTGCAAGTTTGATATGCTTGTTGGTTGTTGAGTTTGTCATAAAGGCACTTGTGTTCACATCGCCAGAGCCAACCCGACCTCAGTAATCCTTCCACCGTCAATTTTTTGAAGCCGACCCTGTTGACTACGCAGCATAGACTCTGGCACAGCCTGTAGCGACTGAACCCGCAAGGTTGGTTGAACCATGCTGGGGCCGTCTGCAAACGGCAAAATGTGCGGAAGATGAGCACAACCGGGCGACTGACCCAGAGGCGGTCGCCGCGCCCAAAAACGACGAGAGACAACCACAAGTGACCGAACGCCCTTCCATCCACGCGAAAACTGAAAGGGCTGTTTCCCTGGTTACCCAGGCAAATGGACCCACAAGAAAAATGCGCACGGTGCAGTGGCCACATGGCATGCCAAATGCGCTGCTGTTCTCACGTGCAGCATCAGTGGGCTTTTGCGGCGTGACACCATGAAACAGCGATGAAGCTGGCGCGTACACCACCCCGAACCCGGACCCTGGGTCAACCCCACCACCCAAACCAACTCTGTGCGTTGGCGCCCATCCCAACCCCATCCCGCCCACACATTCGCAAACGGAACGCTTCGCCGGTCGGACGGAGATCGCCGGCGAACAAAGCGGCGGTCAAACGAAAACCCCGTTGAGCCCGACAGGTGAGGGAATAAAATATCTCTCGCGCAGGGGGGTCTGTTTGCCACCTTTTGTGAGAAAATTGGCGACCCCCTCAAAAAGGAATCCTTCACTACAAGGGGGTCGATCATTTTTCCGCCAAAGGCGGCAAAAAGAACCCCCTCCTCTCGCGCCCATATGCTTCCCTCAAATCGAGGGAGCCGCCAGGTCTCCTTTTTGCACACCCGCCTGTCGCATCCATTCACCGTGCCTTTCCACGTCTTGGGTTGCTCCCGGATTCCTTTTGCTTCAACAGAACTCACATCCAAGGGCCTCAAAAAAAGCACGAGAACATCCAAAAAGGGCCTCAACAAAGACGAGCGAGCCACCCTCAACCGCATTTCTCAAAAAGAACTCACCCAGAAAGGCGCGAAGGCACGGCATGGTTCAGAGCGCCCCTTTCTGCACCTTGCAGGCTGCCCCCTGGAAAACCGAACCCCTTCAACGTGGAAGGCACACCCCCAACTCAAGCGCAAAATCAAAGAGCTGGGGTTACGCAGCTCTTGGTCTTTGGCTCCAATTGCCAAGGGTGCCATTTTGGTACATTTTCTTGAGCCGCAGCCATATGAGAGCCGAAGAATCGGACTGGTCAAATCAACAATTCCAAGTGCGAAACAAAAATATGTGTCCAAAGAAGTCTAAGACAAAAAAGCTACGAGCGCCAGCGCTCTGGAACGCGTGATCAGCTTCAGGTCCCTACCGCATCTCGGAGTTGTAACCAGTGCGCCCTCCGAAACACCTCGTCGCGTGCTCGGTGTGAAGAAGGTGAGAAACTGCCACTGCAAGGGGACCCAAGATTTCACTCATCCCACATACCTGGAAACCAACACGGGCCAGTGTCGAGCTTGGATTCTGGCAGGTTCCGTCGTCTTCAGGCCGCCGCTGCGCCAAATTCGGGCAGCGGAAGCAAGCATTATTCGAGTCCCTGCTTTGGACTGACAGAACAACAGCCACATTGCGCTGGCGTTCCTGCTTATTGTACAACGCGCAACCCACGGAGTTGCGCCCGCATCCCGCATAGAGGAGAAAATTCGGCCGTTTGAGGGGACTGCCCTTGACTTTAAGGTGAGATGGGGATGAGCGATTCTCAAAATAGGAATCCGTCCGCTAAAATGGTTTCTTATGGTTTCTGTTCAAATACCAAGAGTGGGTCCACCATTTGGAGTAATTCACTTGCAAATATTGGCAAAACAGAGTCCTCTTCCTTCGCCACAGCTTGCTCTGACAACCACCACTCGCTTGAGCGCGGCAGTGCAACTCACCGGTTCATGTCTGAATGTCTGGTTTCCACTTCGGAAAACAAAGCCGGCCACCATCAACGGCGGCCGCAAGCGGAAACTGATATCCATTTGGCTTGGGCGCGTGCGCAACCAAAGCACCCTCCCAATTATCGCCCCTTCTGCAATATGGTGGACATCTCTCTTTTGTTTTGGAGGGGGGGGATTATGTCTACCAACCACTTGCGAGGGTGTTCCGACTCTCCAAATTCATACCCACAAAGCACCATGAAACCGACCAGGGCCCCCATGAGCCATACATCACCCGCGCCAAGCCATGGACCGTATCAGCCGAAGGCTTCAGGCATCTGCGGTAGCCCGGCTGGTCATGCACTGTAGGGGCCTCTGCAAAGCGATGGAGCAGGGATCCTTACATTATGCACCTGAACATTGCCTTGTAAATGGTAATGTCCCTTTATTTTGGTGGAAAAAGCCATGTTTCAAATGGGCAAAATGTATCTGTTAAGGAGCCCTGTGGATCGATGCGCAGTGCGTGGAGCTTGGCCTTCGGATCATAGGGGGCCTGTTGGAAAAATAGATGGCCCTGGTAAATGGAATAAACCCCATCCAAACCAGGCCCCTCTATTTTTTAAGCAAAACCAACCAAAAAAGACACCTATGCTTCGGATTTGATTCCCGTCCCCAAGTGGAGGCCGAAAGCCTTTGCAAACCACCAAGCTTCTCGTTTTTCTGGGCTCAGACAGGCTTTTTTTCACCGGAGAAAAAAAGCAAATGGGCCCGGCTCTTCCACTTCTGGCTTCTACGACAAGTGTTTGCACCGGAGCTTAGCTTGATCCCAAGTTGCGTAGCAAGAGATCTGTGCTTGATGCAACGTCAAAATGGAGCACGAACAGGAAATGGCTCGGCGGTCTGTTTTCTGATCCCCTAAAAAGCGAATAATGTTTTAGGAGAAATGGACAACCACCAACTCAACGCCTAAGCTAAGGAACCCAACCCACATGGCTGGGAACCGCTTGGGTGTTCTGAGCAGAAAGACTCTATCCTACTCCATCGCTTGATGCGAGCTCGATCAAAGGAGTTGTCAACCGGGGAGTCAACGGAATCCAAAAGGGGGCCGGAAGGGGGGGAAGCGGGGGGGGAAGCGGGGGGGGAAGGGGGGGGGAAGGGGGGGCCCACTGAATTCAGCGGCGAAGCCAAACAGAACCCAAACCGCAAACGAAAGCTCGCTCGCAGTCCTTGCGCTGACCCGCCGGGCCAGTTGGCAGAGCCTGGCGCGCACTCCGAACTATGGGCGGCCGGTAGCCCCAGCCAAGATCCAAAAAAGGCTCAACGAACATTGTGGTGCCTTCATAGCGTGGGGAGGCGGTGTTGGGAAGAAAGAAAGGGGGTGCGGTCAGCGTGAAAAGATCATGACTCAAACATTTGTCATTTCAGGTCCCCAAATCGATACTTTTTCTCGCCAGAAATGGACGACAATCAGGCACTCCCAAATTCTCCACTCCATCCCTTTGTCGTAATGACACAAAACTTGTTCTCCAGGGTACGGAAAACAAAAAAAGAGGTGAATGCGTGGTTCTCGCTGAAACAAAATATCCTGAAGAAAGACCCACCCATTGTTTTCATGATTAGAGTTAGGCCCGGTAAAAGAATGTATATTTTATTGTTTGCTTCACATGGAGTCACTGGTAAAATGTTAAATGATTTAAATGTATCCTAAGTCTACCCCAGCTTTGGGGGCGGGTCTGGAAAACCCAAACAACTCAGGCGTGCCTTGGCCAAGTCATCTTCTCCAAGTCACGCCTCATGGCCGTGATGAGTCTCGTGTGATGCAAATGGAGAAATGTGTGTCCACATTGCTGGGTTGGGACTCTTCCGAACGAGCAAAGGTCGATGATCTTTAGTAGATTTGGGCGTCGAAAGGGAATATTCCGGTCTGCTCGGTGCTTGGACGACACTTCTACAAACACAATGAGCGAAATCTGCGCGAAGCAACACCTCTCTGCCACGAAATAGTCACTACTGAATGTTCTGAAGTGTTGTGCCTGCCACAAAATTCGACTGCCAACACTCTTGCCAAAGTATGACACCGCCATGCAACATGTATTGAAGCCAGAACATCGCGTATGCAAAAGTGGCAACGATTTGCTGCGCCAGAATCTTGGTTGTAATTTTGAGCTATTGTGCGTCCACCGATTGCGCGACAGCGGCAACGAATTTGCCAAGCATGTGCACGCGCTTTCCGAGCAAAGCACACCAAGCGCAAGAATAAGTGGGTAGCGACTCATGATGATACAAGCCGGCGCAGTGAAACATCGAAAATTGCCAACTTATTATCCCTCACAACCGCAACAATAGCTGTACCGATACTTGGGTACACACTGAAGGCATCGTTTGTTCGGCACGGTCTGTGTGACTCTCGTGGGACACCTTCTAAAGTTTGCGGACACAGACCCAACTTGAAGAACGAAAACGCAAAACAAAAAAGAATGAGCCAGGGCTCACGTGCGTCTGCCAGCGGCTGCATTGCATCCAATCTAGGCGCCAAACCACCACGGGCTCGCCGCAGTGCGAGCAAAATCCTGGGCTCCGGTGCCGGAGGTTTTGCAACGCTGGGCTGTCTGTTTTCTGCTAAAAGTGAACAACTTGTGGGATAAATGGAAACCCAACCACCAAACTAACAAAAAGCTCAAAAGCTCAGGAACCAGATGACCACTGGAGCCACCAAGCACGCTGATTCTTCGCTCTGGCTTCCCTAGGAAATGCGCACGTACACACCTGCACTGGCATGAAGACCTGAATGCATGCTCTTATTCAGGATCCAGAAAACCGAAAAGGAGGAAAAACATCTAGGCACAGCGAGGCATGGTAGGCCACAACCCCTTCTGTGATATCAAACTGGGCCTTGAGAGGGATTCCCTTGGTACTCAACAATGGCAACCAACCCCCGCCCCCCCATAGGTGGTAAATGGAACAAACCCCATCTAAACCAGGCCCTCTATTTTTTAGGCAAACCCACCAAAAAGGACGCCTGTGCCCCCCCTGTTTTCCACCACCTGTGGGTTTCCCTAGCTGCCACACCCTCTGGGGGGGGGGGGCCTCCACTGCCCCGACTCGAGCGCTCCGAGCCCGGCACGCTGAGTCGAGCTGTGCTTGGGCTTGCCGCAGAAGACGCAGAACCTGCGCGCGGTACCCACGAGACTCGGAACCGCATCCACTCAGAACCACAAACCACCCACCGAGAAAAGCCACCAAAGCCCCCTTTATGTAGAGGGAGGGTGAAAAAACGGTTTGAGTCTTACCTTTGCTTCCCTGCAAAGGGCCGCACCCGTTTTAGAACTCCCATTCGAACCAGGCCCACCGCCAGCCTTCCCGGCATCGCGGTCACGGCGCCGGCGCCAGCAGCGACGGCGCCAGTGTCCCAAAATCCTGGCGACAGGGGAGGTACAAAGCAAAGAATTTAGGGACCGGCTTCCATTTCTTCACAACCATTGGCATGGATTTATTCACAACTATTCACAACCATTAGTATGGATGTCTTCACAACCACTGGTATGAATTTATTCACAACCATTGGATGGTAGCCAAAAAAGCTGTGATTGTTGCCCCCTAATCAAAATGAACAAAAACACAAAACTGCAAAACATGCCAAGATCAGTGAAGATTTGGTGGAAGTCATTCAGGTGGGGACCCAGCCTTGACAGGGATTCCCCCGGAGGTAATCTTTAAACCACCCAAACAAAACTAGACATGCTGGATGCAACTTGGTTCCCACTCTTCCTGCTCCGGAGCCTCTTACGTGTTGTCAACCGCTTCCTTTCTGCATGATCATGCCAATCAGAGGGGTTTTGAAGCTCCAAACTCCTTCGAGGCTTGACGTCGGATCTACCTTGGGATTCCCTCCTTTGCAAGCGCAAAAGTCGGCTCCCCAACCACGGATCCCGGGAAATGGGCTCCCTGTAGAACACAGCGGGCCCAGAGCTTAGCCTACAAAAAACTCAGCATAGCTTACCCCAGCAACATGGGGTTGATTCCCCTTAAAACCCCAAAATGGGGTATCCTCGAAAAAGACGCGCCACCCCCAAAACTTGCTGCGCGAACGGCTGCCTGCCTTGGCCAGAGTTGGGTATTGAGCACATCGCCTCCTGCAATCCGCCGAAACCGCTCCGACGAGACACCGGGAAAAAAGCCAAACCTCCCGCGCGGAACGGGGAAACCGCCGCTGGAGTTGGTGGGTCATATGAATCTGATTGGAACCAAAAGATCCATTCCTGGATCGGATCGCCTGCAACCTCCACATTTGCGATTGAACGCGCATCCTTCCGGCGCTTTGGCTCAAAACAGAGAGTTTCCAGAATCAGGGGGGCCTCAGTGGCTTCCCCCCGTAAAAGGCAACCCCCACAAAAAACAAAAAGCAACCCCGGGCAAGATTGAGAAGCGCCTGGTAGACTTGCGGCTGGTAGTAACCATAGTAGCCGCAAAGAGCTTCAGCCGAGTCCTGCGCTGAACCATTCAGCGCGTCGCTGAAAGGGTCTCTCAAGATCGGGACCACATTTGGAAATGGGCTTGTCCCAAATTGGTCTCCCCAAATGGTTCTTCGGTTCCTTTGGTTTCCCCCCAAAAAAAACATCCAGAAAGACATGGTTTGAAACAAACCCATATCGGCCTGTCTTTGTTGCCCAGTTGGATCGACGAAGAAATGAACGGAAGGCTATCATTATGTCAAAATTAGGGACGCTTTTGAGACGGTATTGAAGCGGGAACCAACATGACACCATTCAGAAGAGGCTTTGAGTTTGGGACACATGCCCGAATGGACCATCAAACAAAAACAGCCCCACAAACCAGGCCACTGCACGCTCAATGAACACACCACCACACCAACACCACCCCCACAAACCACTGATGCCACATGTGCGAACGAGATTCCTCCGGCCAAAAAACTTTCAGCAAGTTCAGAGGCAACCCCCTCAACCCCCCCAACCACCCCAACCCCCCCAACCCCCCCAACCCCCCCAACCCCCCCAACCCCCCCAACCCCCCCAACCCCCCCCCCCCCCCCCCAACCCCCCAACCCCCCAACCCCCCCAACCCCCCCCCAACCCCCCCAACCCCCCCAACCCCCCCAACCCCCCAACCCCCCCAACCCCCCAAACCCCCAACCCCCCCAACCCCCAACCCCCCCCCCCAACCCCCCAACCCCCCCCAACCCCCCAACCCCCAACCCCCAAACCCCCCAACCCCCCAACCCCAACCCCCCCAACCCCCCCAACCCCCCCAACCCCCCCAACCCCCCCCAACGCAAAACATGCCTACGCCTTGTTTTTATGCCAGGCTCGCTCCGGTCTCCTGCCAACTCGTGGGCAGGCTGGGCAGGGAAGCTGTGTCGGAGTCGCTGGAAAACTCGTTGCCGCCCTGGCGGTCGGGAGTGCCATTGAGCGCGATGACCGAGGTGTCCCTTCTTGGGCCTGTGTGCGTTTTTGTTTTTTGTTGTGCTGGTACAGCTGTTGGGGTGTGTCTCAAAGAGCACCCTACAGGACACCAGCCACAACCATTCCTCTGGTCCACCTGTTCGACACATACCCTGTGAGCGACGTCGTCCGCTGACAGCCGACTTTCTGCTTGCCAAGCGACTGTTGTGGAGACCTTTTGACCATCTGCTTCGTAGTGAAGGGTAGTGTGCCTGAGCCGGACTCAGACCGGAACCGACAACCGTTTCGTGGTACAGAAACAAGGTGGAAACTCATTGGCTTTGTCCTTTTTGTTTTACTAGAAACAAGGTCCCTGGAGAAGGTTCATGTAGCCCTCACAGTATCCTCTGGCTCTCTGCCTCTTGCAATGCTTTTGAGACAGCACAAGCACTTTGTCCATTGGGCTAGACAACCCAAATCAATCCACCTGGCTCCCAGGTAAAATAGAAGGCGAGCTCCCCTTGGAAAGTGGCAATCTAATGGTAAGGCCCCCTGATTGATCCAAACATCACATTCTCCAAGCAAATCTGGGTATGTCTTAGAATAGGAGTGTCCCCAGAAATGCGGTCTTCCTTTTGGTTTCCCTTTAAGCCAACATTCAAAAGCGTCGCCTCGAAACGAAACACGCAAACATCCTTGCCTGCCTTCGCGGGCCGGGGGAAGGCCGGGGGCCGGGGGCCGGGGGCCGGGCTTCCCCAGCACACTTACCAGCATGGAGACAGTCGTGGGCACATCCGCACCTTCGGTCCCAGGAGACCCAAGGTATGTTGGGACTGCTGCTTTTTGTTGTTCCATGCATCAAAAAGTTTCAGCTTTGGGGACTTTGGGGGCCGGCACTTTTGGAGCATTTGCATGGTCTGGCTTTGAAAAACCTAGTGCTGGCTTTGCCGGCCCAAAACACTTGCCTTGGGGATTAACGAACTCTACTTGTTTATTCAAACAGTCCCCTGTGTTTTGCAACTTCGCCTCGCAAGGCGGAACTGCCTGCAGTTACATAAGTCCCCCCTAGACTTGCGTGTTCTACTGAACTTACTCTGCTTCGTCTGCTTCTTCTTATTCCTCTTATTTGTTTTCTTCTTCTTCTTCTTCTTCTGCTTCTTCTTCTTCTTCTTCTCGGTTCCCTCTTTCCATGGTTTTGCAGCGGGTGTTCATGTGCAACATCTGGATGTCTGCAACCTCTTCCTTGTCGCCAGTAAGAGCAACCAGGTCCATACCGCAAGAGGAGCCACGATACAAACAAAAAACGGCTGTCGACCCATCGACCATTTGAATGGCAATGCGTCCAAACAGTGGAAGGTCGACTGCCATGATGGGACGCTTAGAACCTCTACAGCTTCCTTCTTTGCAGCTCGTCGCCTGCGGATGCTACTGATATCGCAAGTTGAAAAAATGTCCGTGGCTTGGCTCAAGCCTGGCTCAAGCCTGGCTCAAGCCTGGCTCAAAATGCTTTGCTCGAAAAATTCCCTTTATTAACATCCTAACAGGGCTAGGACGGTTAAGACCTGTAGTGCTCCGGGTTTGGCACTGCTTTTGGTGCCATTCCGACTCGTGCTTCTGTCTTAGAAGGTGGGTTCCAAACCAGTTCGAATGGTACGCCACCAAATGACCACAGTACACAATTGAGAAATGCTCAAAGCCTATTGGCTGCTGGTTCTCCTAACACGCTTATCAGGCTTTACATATGCCTTACTCTAACCCAAATCAACCAGGTCAACCAAAACCGAACCCATCAATTCTGAGCTGGATCCACAACCCGAAAAGCTCGGAAATCGCCCAGGATTTCCTCCTCGTCCTCTACCACCTGAAACCCCTCCGACCGATCCCGTGCCTGAGTGCTGCTTCACAGACTCCTGAGAGCGGTGCCAACTGTGAACTGAGGTTCTGCCCATGGTTGGCAACCCTTACGCCCATAACCTACATATGACAAGGGGACCCACCATGGTTAGCGTTGCTGAGGTTATATCCATGTCCTTGCTACAACAAAGACATCTTTGGTGACCTGACCATGATTCGTAGTCCCCGAACAAGCCACGCCCGGGATTCAAATTGAAAGCCATGGCCGGCACCACGCGCGCGCTTTTCCTGAGCGCTGTCATCCTTAGAGTTCGACTGGGTTCGATCCCCAAGGCAAACAGCACTCTCTGCGCCACTGCTTGCCGGCTCCGGCTGCGAAAACAACAAACATCCTTCTCCTAGAAAACAACTCGAGAAAGCCTGAGGAAGCAGAATTCGTGCTTAGAGCCTCCCAAATGGGACGGAATTATCTATAACCATCTACCAATGACCGCATCCGGCACCAGACGCTGCCATACGCTGGACCGTCCACAAATGGCCCCTCGGCTCGGCAGCTCAGCAGTGCCTAGAACTCGTCGCCGTAGCCTGGCACGATGGCTACAAGAAGGTCGGAATGTTTCTTTGGTTGTCTCATGGGCGGGGGCAGGGAGCAGGGGGGGGGGGAATTTGAGCCCAAATAAGCCCTAAACAAGGCTTCATCCAGGGCTTATTTGGGCTCCCTCCCCCCTCTGCTCCCTCCCCCCCAGCCCCCATGATTGTCTAAGCTTCGAAAGGCGCACCATCTTCGCTTCTTGGGCGAGTGGGCCAACAAAGCTGGATCTGCGTACGGCCAAAAGCATCTCTCAAGAAATGGATGAAGTGAAGGAATCCGGGAAATGAGTTACATGAAAAGCAGGTTCGGAGGGTAGGGAGGTTCCACCGAAATAGCACAATCCTCTCCAACAACAAGCAAGCACAAGCGTCGTGCCCATCGCTTCTCATACAAACACAAGTGAAACCAAGTTGACGAACTTCAGAACGTGCACATGTGTACATCATAGAGGATCTCGTTAAACAACATCGCATCACATTGTATTTCAGCACAGTACATGACAATACATCACATTACACCGCATTACATTACACTACATTGCATTGCATTACATTACATTACGTTACACGAACTTGGCGTGTGTTGTGTTGCACTTACAATACATTACATTGTATTGACTTGCCTCTTGCATTACAATGCATTGCAGTACTTTACCTTGTAAGCCAGATTGCATGAGATTGGCCTGCACTGAACTACATTGACACATACCTACTTGAATACACGCCTTATTGCAGACGTGTGTTTCATTGCGCTACATGTCATTGCGTTGTGTTACTTACACCACATTACATTACATTACATTACATTACATTACATTACATTACATTACATTACATTACATTACATTACATTACATTACATTACATTACATTACATTACATCATTACATTACATGAAACTTTATTGCATAAATCACATTGCATTGCCTTACCTTACATTGCATTGCATTGCATTGGCTTGCATGATGTCGCTTCTTATTTTGTTGCGTCGGCTAGCCTTCTAGCACACACAGGCATGCATTCCATGCTTGTGTGTGGGTAAGTATCTTTATATATATATATATGCAGGCATAGACTGTTGTTCACTCATACACATACCATAAGACGTGCTGTCCAACACATACCCGACTCAAAATCACACCTACAATCGTGCTCACACGCACACTCAAACAAGGGTCAAAGAAGTTCCCTTCAGAAGCTGCCAGTTGCTGGTGGGTTTCAAACACAATGTCACTTATTGAGCTGCAAAGACAGGGAATAAACTCGGTTGCTTTCTACCCCCCTGCTAAAAGTTTAACTTTTAGTGGTTTACTGGAAAACGTTGGCAAAAAGTTAAAGTCCTAACATCCCTTGGCAAAATGCACCAAAGAAAAGACCCCTGTCCAACTCACACTCACAAACCCCGCCCAACCGCTTCCGGGCCTTCCTCCTCCCCCTCTCCTTCGGCTGTCTCGATGCCGACCTCCTCGTAGTCCTGATTTGCCCAGCAGCGTTTGGGAGAAAGGTCCATCTTTCTCTAGTTGCCTGTAAAAAAGGCTGAACAAACGGCCCTGCTTGGGGGGTCGGCGCTCCATAGAGCAGAGTTTCTTTTGGGACGGTAATGCTAGTGACGTATCAACGCCTACGCCAGCCAGGCCATGCCCAAATGCCATTCGGGCCGTTTTCGAGGTGTATGTCAGCCTGAAAAACGCCTACGCGCGCCTATGCGGTTGGAGTGTTGCTCTCAAAGTGCCTACGCGGTGCGCGTTTTGTTCCAAAACTCGTACACGCGGGCGCCCCTACAGGCAAGTGAAGTCGAGCCTTGCGGCGCCTACACGAGAAGCTCCCCACGCGTGCAGTAATGTCCGCTCTCTTTGGTCCCTTTGCTACCAAAAGAAGGACTCTGCTCAATTCAACTCCAGGAACGGAAAGCTCGCGCGCATAACTGCAACGCAGAACACAGCCACGAAAGTGCAAAAAAAGGTTTCAAACAGCCCCCTTTTCTGAGTTCAGAGCTGGTTTTCCTTTGTTTCCCGGAACAAGAAACTCCAAAAAAAGAAACACCCACTTGCAAAAACCGCCCAAAAGTTGTTTGGAACCCAACTCCAGGAAAGGAAGTACACCCGCTAAGGGGGCCAACTCCAAAAGGTTCACACACACCTCTTCCCTTCTTGAGAAACCCCAGGAAAAAACGTGACACCCCAGAAACAAAATAAGCTCAGGTGATATCCCCAACAGCGGTGCTCGTTTTAGTGCTCGCACCGCCCCGCAGCTCTCGCAGAACCTACCCCGGAACCTCCGGCACCTTCCTTGAACCTTACACCTAGCCGTCACCAGACCACCCGGAACCTCCGGAACCTGCCTTGAACCTTCTACCTGGCCTGGACCGGAACCTCCGGAACCTTCCTTGGACCTTCCTGCACCACCGGACCCAAAACCTGCTTGGACCTTACACTTGGCCTGCACCAACCAGACCACCCGAAACCCTGAAACCTGCCTTGAACCTGCCAGAACACCCCTCACAAGCTTACCCTGACCACCCCGCAACCTCCGGAACCTTGCTTGAACCACCTCTGCACCACACCTTGCCTACTGCCTTGAACCTTACACCACCCCGAAACCTCCGGAACCTGTTGACCTGGCCTGCGCCAGACCACCCCGTATCTCCAAAACCTTCCTTGAACCTTACAACCTGGCCTGCACCAAATCACCCGGAACCTCCGGAACCTGCCTTGAACCTTACACCTGGCCCTCCAGAACTGGGGTTCCTTGAACCTCACACCTGGAACCTTACACCTGGCCCTCCGCAACCGGGGTTCCTTGAACCTTACACCTGGCCGACACCAGACAACCCGGAACCTCCGGAACCTGCCTCACCTGGCCTGCACCAGACATCCCCGGAACCTCCGGAACCTTGCTCGAACCTGACTCCAGAGCTCCCCCAAGCCACCCCCAAACCTTATCTGGGCTGAGACCCCTTAGCTTTCAGCTGTTGGGGAAAAAAACCTCTTCCCTTTTCTTCCTGTTTGGAAACCCCAAGAAAAACGCGACACCCAGAACTCAGAACCCCCCCCCCAAAAAAATAAGCTCGGGCGATATCCCCAACAGCACCACACCCTTCCAGAATCCTCGCGGAACGCCCCGGGACCATCCTCCCTGATCGGGGCCCGACGGCGCAATCGGCGGGGCCCGATCGGGGCCCGACGGCGCAATCGGGGCCCGATCGGGGCCCGACGGGAATCGGGGCCCGATCGGGGCGCGACGGTGCAATCGGGGCCCGATCGGGGCCCGACGGTGCAATCGGGCCCCAATCGTCCCGTGGTTCAACCCCAGCCACCCATATTATAGCTCAACGCCGGTTTTTCTTAGCGTGCGGATTGCAACTGTATCTATAGCAAAACTAGGCGATGCCAGCTTGGTACACTTGACGGGGCCCGACTGAGTCGGGCCCCGATCGGGGCCCGACGGCCCGATCGGGGCCCGACGGTGCAATCGGGCCCCGATCGTCCCGTGGTGCAACCCCATATTATAGCTCAACGCCGGTTTTCCTTAGTATGCGGATTGCAACTGTATCTGTAGCAAAACTAGGCGATGCCAGCTTGGTACAATTGACGGGGCCCGACTGAGTCGGGCCCCGTTCGGGGCGCGATGGCGCAATCGGGGCCGATCGGGCCCAAACGGTGCAATCGGGCGGGCTGCGACAGTGCAATCGGGCCCCGGTGAACCTTGCAAACCGTTCTGACGCAACTTTCGTGGAGCTCAGCGTGAAACTTTGCTGGAACCTTTCCTCAGGGCTGCCCCATAGCTTTTGCGTGGAACCTTACCTCAAACCACTGCAGCGAACCCTCAGTGGAACCTTACCTCAAACCACCCAGACCACCCTGGTGGAACCCTGGCGAACCCTCGTGAACCTTCCTCAAACCCGCAGCCCGCAAAGAAATTGGTGGAACCCTGGTCAGACCACCCCGCCTTGCAGAACGTGGACCCTGGTGGAACCCTGCTCCTGGTGCTGGTGGAACCCTGGTGGAACCCCTGGTGGAACCCTGGTGGAACCTTAGCTCAGGGTCCCCGAACCAACCCGGAGCCTATCTGGGCTGAGACCCCAAAGCTTTCAGCTGTTGGGGAAAAAACAGTAGTTGCCCCCTTTGCCCTTAGGGTGCGCGGTCGGGAAAAAACGATTTCTGCGGCTGCCGCTGTCCTTCTCCAAGGCCGCCAAGTCCTCCCGCGCCTCGGAGAACTCCCCCTCCTCCACGCCCTCGCCCGCGTAGTGGTGGACGAAGGCGCGCCTGGGCACGAGAAGAAAAACGCGCCACAGCCACGCCCAGGTCTCCCTGCAAAAAAAAGTAACGCAGGCGGGGGGGGGGGGGGAGGGGGGTGGCAGGGAAGAATGAGTCCTATGCGTCGCCGCGCGATTTTTTGCATTTGAGCACCACTTCATGTTACATGCTCATGCACTCACACGCACACCAAAACTCTATTCCCACATGGTGCTACAGAGATAATATGCGCTTACCATGCACAAGGATACTGCTGAATAAATAGACACTTGGTTCAAACATGTGTGTTATTTTCTCGTGTGCATGTTTCAATTTCAATTTCATGACCAGCAAAAGAAATGCAAGCACGCAGCTAAGTAATATTGTCCGTGGCCTAACGCAGGGCACAGGCGCGCAGCTAGGTTCGATGTCAGGAGACTGACAAAGGCCACAGGTGCACAACTAAGTCCTGTTTGCTAAGTATTCTACTTATCATCAGTCTTCGAATGCATTCTTATCATTCTTCCCAAAGGGACACGTGACTTTTGGGGAATTCCAAATTCATGTTTGTTCTAATCAGTTCATTTCTTAGACTTTCTCTAAGTATTCGAACCACTGCGAAAGGGACGGGTGCCTTTTTGGGAATTCAAGAGTCCTCTGTGCTAATTGTTCTACTTATCATCAGTCTTGAAATTATAATTGTTTTTCCCAAAGGGACGGGTGCCTTTGGGGAATTGCAGATTGGTTTTGCAACTTATACTACTTAGCATACCTCTTCCAACTAGTTTTCTCATGAGTTCCAAAGTGATGACTTTGGGGAATTCAATATTCATGTTTGCTGGTCGTTGTTGAAAATTATTCTACTTATCATAACTCTTCTAATTCATTCTTACCATTCTGCCCAAAGGGACGGGTGACTTTTGGGGAATTCAAATATTGTTTGTTCTAATCAGTTCATTTCTTAGACTTGCTCTAAGTATTCGAACCACTGCGAAAGGGACGGGTGCCTTTTTGGGAATTCAAGAGTCCTCTGTGCTAATTGTTCTACTTATCATCAGTCTTCTAATTATAATTGTTTTTCCCAAAGGGACGGGCGCCTTTGGGGAATTGCAGATTGGTTTTGCAAATTATACTACTTAGCATACCTCTTCCAACTAGTTTTCTCATGAGTTCCAAAGTGATGACTTTGGGGAATTCAATATTCATGTTTGCTGGTCGTTATTGAAAATTATTCTACTTATCATAACTCTTCTAATTCATTCTTACCATTCTTCCCAAAGGGACGGGTGACTTTTGGGGAATTCAAATATTGTTTGTTTTAATCATTTTATTTCTTAGACTTGCTCTAAGTATTCGAACCACTGCCAAAGGGACGGGTGCCTTTTGGAATTCAAGAGTCCTCTGAGCTAACTGTTCTACTTATCATCAGTCTTCCAATTGTAATTGTTATTCCCAAAGGGACGGTGCCTTTGGGGAATTGAAGATTGTTTTTGCAAATTATACTACTTAGCATGCATCTTCTATCTTTTCTTCATGAGTTCCAAAGTGGGACGGGTGACTTGAATTCAGTATTCATGTTTGCTGGTTGTTTTTGTAGATTATTCTACTTATCACTCCTCTTCTAATTCATTCTCATCACTCTTCCCCAGGGGGGGATTCAAAATTCTCTTTTGTTCTAATCATTTTTTCTTAGACTTGCTCTAAGTCTTCGAGCCACTGGCAAAGGGACGGGTGCCTGCTTTGTTATTCCCAAAGGGACGGGTTCCTTTGGGGAATTGAAGATTGGTTTTGCAAATTATACTACTTAGCATACCTCTTCCAACTAGTTTTCTCATGAGTTCCAAAGGGGTGACTTTGGGGAATTCAATACTCATGTTTGCTGGTTGTTTTTGTAAAGTATTCTACTTATCAGAACTCTTCTAATTCATTCTTATCATTCTTCCCAAAGGGACGGGTGACTTTTGGGGAATTCCAGTTAGTGTTTGTTCTAATCATGTATTTCTTAGACTTGCTCTAAGTCTTCGAACCACTCCCAAAGGGACGGGTGCCTTTTTGGGAATTCAAGAGCCCTCTGCGCTAACTGTTCTACTTAACATCAGGCTTCCAATTATAATTGTTATTCCCAAAGGGACGGGCGCCTTTGGGGAATTGAAGATTGTGTTTGCAAATTATACTACTTAGCATACCTCTTCCAACTAGTTTTCTCATGAGTTCCAAAGGGGTGACTTTGGGGAATTCAATATTCATGTTTGCTGGTTGTTTTTGTATTCTACATATCATTACTCTTCTAATTCATTCTTATCATTCTGCCCAAAGGGACGGGTGACTTTTGGGGAAATCCAAATATTGTTTGTTCTATTGATTGTGTTTCGTAGACTTGCCCTAAGTATTCGAACCACTCCCAAAGGGACGGGTGCCTTTTTGGGAATTCAAGAGTCCTCTGTGCTAATTGCTGTACTTCTCATCAGTGTTCTAATTATAGTTGTGACCTCTTCCAACTAGTTTTTCTCATGAGTTCCAAAGGGATGACTTTGGGGAACTCAATATTCATGTTTGCTGGTTGTTTTTGTAAATTATTCTACTTATCATAACTCTTCTAATTCATTCTCATCAATCTTCCCACAGGGACGGGTGACTTTTGGGGAAGTCCAATTATTGTTTGTTCTATTCATTTTATTTCTTAGACTTGCTCTAAGTATTCGAACCACTCCCAAAGGGACGGCCTTTTCGGGAATTCAAGAGTCCTCTGTGCTAACTGTTCTACTTAACATCAGTCTTCTAGCTATAATTGCTATTCCCAAAGGGACGGGTGCCTTTGAAATTGCAGATTGTGTTTGCAAACTATTCTACTTAGCATACCTCTTCTAAGCATTTTTCTCATGATATGCAAAGGGACGGGTGACTTTTGGAAGTCAAAATATTGTTTGTTCCAATCATTCCTTGGACTTGCAATTCAAGAGTCGTCTGTGCTAATTGTTCTACTTATCATCAGTCTTCTAACTATAATTGTTATTCCCAAAGGGACGGGGGCCTTTGGGGAATTGAAGATTGGTTTTTGCAAATTATACTACTTAGCATACCTCTTCTAACTAGTTTTCTCATGAGTTCCAACGGGACGGGTGCCTTCTGGGGAACTCAAGAGTCCTGATTGCTAATTGTGCTACTTATCATCAGTCTCCAAGTGCACTTGTTTTCCCAAAGGGACGGGTGCCTCTCGGGATGGAATATTCATGTTTGCTAACTACTCTGCTTATCATAACTCTTCTAGTTCTTCTCCCAAGGGACGGGTCACTCTTGGGGAAGTCCAAATTAATTGTTGTTCTAAACATTGTGTGTCTTATACTTGTTCTCAGTGTTCGAACCACTGCCAAAGGGGCGGGTGCCTTTTTGGGAATTCAAGAGTCCTGTTTGCTAATTATCATCAGTCTTCTAATCATAATTGTTATTCCCAGAGGGACGGGTGCCTTTGGGGAATTGAAGATTGTTTTTGCAAATTATACTACTTAGCACACCTCTTCTAAGTATTCTCTCATGAGTTCCAAAGGGATGACTTGGGGGAATTCAATATTCATGTTTGCTGGTTGTTTTGTAAATTATTATACTTATCATAACTCTTCTAATTCGTTCTTATCATTCTTCCCAAAGGGACGGGTGTCTTTTGGGAAGTCAATTTTCTAATCATTTTATTTCTTAGACTTGCTCTAAGTATTCCAACCACTGCCAAAGAGGCGGGTGGCTTGTTGGGAATTCAAGAGTCCTCTGTGCTAATTGTTCTACTTATCATCAGTCTTCTAAATATAATTGTTTTTCCTGAAGGGGCGGGTGCCTTTGTGGAATTGAAGATGGCTGTTGTGCAAATTATACTACTTAGCATACCTCTTCTAATTAGGTTTCTCTTTATTTTGAAATGGACGGGTGACTGTTGGTGGAATTCCAAATTTATGTTTGCGCTAATCATTGTGCGTCTTATAATTGCTCTAAGTATTCGATCCACCCCCAAAGGGACGGGTGCCGTTTGGGGAATTCAAAAGTCCTGTGTGCTAAGTATTCTACTTGCAAACCGTCCTCTAAATACAAATGCTAGTCTCAAAGGGACGGGTGCGTTTGGGGAATTAAAGATTGATTTTGCAAATAATAATACTTCTCATAACTCTTCCAATTAATTCTTCTCATTACTCCCAACGGTGCCTCTTGGGGACTTCCAGATTGATGCTTGTTCTCATCATTCTATGTCTTTTCATTGCTCTAAGTATTCGAACCACTCCCAAAGGGACAGGCGTCTTTTGGGGAATTGAAGAGACCTGTTTGCTAAACAGTCTACGTATCATCAGTCTTCTAAATATAATTGTTATTCCCAAAGGGACGGGTGCCTTTGGGGAATTGAAGATTGTGTTGCGCAAATTATTCTACTTATTCCGAACTCGTCTAGTTAATTATTCTCATTATTCCCAAAGGGGCGGGTGCTTTTGGGGACTTGCAGATTCATGTTTGTTCTAATCATTCTAAGTCTTTTAATTGCTCTAAGTATGCGGACCACTCCCAAAGGGACGGGTGCTTTTTTTGGAATTCCAGGCCAGTCTTTCACCAAGGGACGGGAGCAGTTGGCGAATTCCAGAATCATGTGTTTTCTAATCATCCTTCGTCTTCTTCCCAAAGGGACGGTTGCCTTTTGTGGAGTTTCAGATTCAAATTTGCTCTAGTTATTCTACTTTTTACAACAATAATCATTCTCTAACTTGTTCCAAAGAGGGGTACCTTTTTGGGAAATCCAGCATACATATTTGATAAAGTTATTCGAATCATTCAAACAACTCGAACAATTCTAATGGTTCTGGATACTTTCAATTGGCCGGGTGCCATTTGGGGAAGTCCAGATTCATGTTGCGCTAATCATTCTACTTCCCTAGTTATTCAAAATTATTGATTTCTTCTTAAAGAAAGGGTGCCTTTTGGGGAAACCAGGTTCATGCTTCTTGTAACTTGTTTTTGTGGATTTCCAGGCTCTTCTGTTCTGATTTCTAAGTGTTCCC